GCAAAACCAAAACAAATATTCGCTGTTTCTTGAAAGCGGTGCGGTGCTTTAACCCGTGGATTCTCGCTGAGGCAGCTGCATCCCAGACCTGATCGCAGCCACTGTGGACAATACTTGTGAACCCACCAGATGCACCGCAGCACAGTTCACAAGCGGCTCTCCGCACTGAAAATATGTGCCTGGTCTATTTTTGACGGACGCCACGTCACGCTGCACAGAGCGGATCGAGTTGGGGGGGCGGGGAAATCTGACACAGGACAGGCAGAGAGCATCCGGTCAATTCTCCAAATTTCCATAAACATCTGCTCTGCGCTGTTGTGAAAATATTGGTGATGGCTGTCCCACTTCAGCTCAGCCACAGGAGATGAAAAATCCACTTACTGGGTTCTTTGCTAGTTGAGGAGATGCACCCTCGTCAGAACTCTCACTGCTGTCGTCTCGGTGCAATAAATACAGTCTGTTTCTTTGCAAAAGGAAGCGTAGCGGACCTCGGAGGCTGGGAAAATGTCGGGATCCTTCTGATTTCTGCAGATGTGTGGAATTATAAACACACACTAAAAAAAACACAAACACATTTGTGCTGAATTTAGACAAAGGATGCCGTTAATTCGTCCTAAATTCAATACAAATGTTTCGGAAAAATTAACATCGCGACGTGCCAGGTGTTAATCCGATCCTGATTCTGAAACAACGTGCCTCACGATGCTTCAAATAAAGTGTCAGATCATTTATGGGTGCTTTCAGCAGGAAGAGCAACCGTCTCCGTCGTTAGTTGGAGTCGCAGGATGCTTTGGAGAAAAAGCCTCCTCACTTCTGAAGCTTGAAGCAATGCCCACAAACACATCGCACCAAATGATTAAAGACTTCAGTGTTGGACAAACCCGTGATTCCTCGCTCTTTGTGAAGCCTCCTTCCTCCTCAAGTAAAGTAAATGGAGCCATGATGGGAGAAGAAAGAGGAAGTAAAGCACCTCAAGTAGGGCAAAAAATCTGAATGAGACTCAACATTTGCTGCAACACCACCTCCTCCAAGCTGCTGCGTCGGTTAAATCAAACGAACGTGTACATTTTTGGTGCATTACTTTTACACTTTTGTAATAATCCACTGAGTTCCATGGAGCTGCCTCCACCGTCATGGTCCTGACAGGATGCATGCTGACTCACTGTCACTTTCATAAAGCAGAGCCATTGTTGCTGTTATTAGAAACACCTGAGCTCTTCCTACCATGACAAGTCAAGCTGCCTGCTGTGAAAGGGCCTGTTGTGCAAAACGCAGGCGCCACAATTTGTGTGATTCGTCATGTTGAGACTACAAAGGCCCACAAAGAAAAAAAAAAAAAAAACACAAGGCCCAGGATTCCGGGAGACGCATCAGGGAGGCATAAACACTTTCCCTTCAGATGTGGTCGGATGTAGTAGGTGTAGTTTGTTTCAGACGCACTGACGGCTTGACACTAATCCGTAAAGCTTTGCTGACTGGCTGAAACGTCCAAAATGTCCTCCTTAGCGAGAGGGAAAACTCAGAACGATCGTCACGGCGATAGAAGAACAAGAACACACAGCGAGGAGGAGAAAGGAGTCTTCCTGTTATTCAGATCGCTGCAAACTCAAGTCAGCATTTAGGCAGGATTTGCTCCGGCTTCCCTCTTTAACCTTCCCGTTCTCATCTGTGTGAGTGTGTGTGTGTGTCTGTGTGCTGCTGTGTGAGTGTGTGTGTGTGTCTGTGTGAGTGTTGAGCAGTGAAACCGAAGAACAGTAAGTCTCAGTTCAGATCTGAACTGGTGAACTGGACTCACTTCCTGTCTGTGCTCCGTGTCTTTGTGTTCCTTCAGCCTGCTGTTTCCTCCGTGTTCACTAGACTCACCCCAACAACNATGAACTTGGTTTTCATTAAAATAACTATTTGAGGCTCAAATAGGTAAATTTTTGCAACACAAAATACAAGATGAAGGCAAAGCAGAACTGTGTTTTTTTTCTTTCCTCATATTCTGCTCACAAATTAAATCAACTGTTTATTATAAAAGATTTTAAATGCAGAACTCTAACGTGTAAGAGCATCGTCTCATCACGCAGCCTCTTCCTGCTGAGATTCTGAGTAAAAACATTTAACACTCGACTGTTTTTAGTGTTTGTGGATGTGCTGGATGTTTACTCGTGCTGTGGTATGTGTTTGCAAATGCAAGTGAGAATATTTTTCAGCGTGTGACGCGTGTACGTGGATGAATGAGCCGATGCTTGTTTGCGGACTGCCGAGCTTTTACAGTTTGCGTTTGCTCTTGTGTAAGTTTGTGCATGCATTCGCTTCGGCCTCGGCAGACTGGAGCAAGTTTGAGTTTTGTTATATTTGGAATATTCCTGGAAATAATCAGTCATCGGGCCCATCAGTCAACCTAATATTTACACAAAACTTTTCAGAGGTAATGCGTCTTGTGTGGACAGTGTTTTGTTCGGGCTTGAAAGAGCTGCAGCGAATGTAGTTTTGAAACTGAACCGGGTTCAAGTATGAGAGCTGTGTGGGAGTATCGGAGGGTTAGTGGTTACTGTGATCATAACATCCCTGCTTCGACCTTAGCTGGAAGACTTTGTTGCGTGTGCTCTCGCTCTCTTTTGCTTCGTTTCCTATCACTTTGTCAAAAAACATGCGTAGAATTATTGGAGAACTGTGAAACAAAGAAAAACCTCAGACTGCTAGATCCTCCAAGAACAGACCAGACCAAATGCTACGCAACATTATGATAAGTCACTTCTTCAAATTAATGTCCGCTAAGGTGGTTGACGTCTGCTAAAGAGCTCTGCATTTTATCTTAAATGATACGTATCACTAAGGGAAATAAAGAAAGCAGCCCTTAAAAATCATCTCTGGTTACCAAAGTCATATATTGAGAAGCTCATTTCAATGAAAA